TATGAGGGGGCTGCTGAACTGAGTGTCCTATAAAGACCATCCGGCACAGTCCCTGTGTTCCACGCTGACATCCGTACAGCAAAAAGCCCCTAAGGGCCACTGGATCCAGGCAGATTTATGGCTGCCCCCCCGGAGCATTTTTGGCAGTGCTGCATCAAGCTGCGGGGTTGTTGGTGCAGTAGCCCCCCCCCCCCCCGCACCATCCAGCCCGCCAGGACCCACAGAAAGGTTCACGTTTCACACAAACACTCGCTCACACCTCCATGTGCCGGTCCGACATGCAGCAGGATCCGGGGGGAGCATTTAAGTTCAAGCCCCCTCAAAGGCCCAACAGCGGCTCCTCTCCGGTCATTGGAGACAGGCCTGCGCTGCCCCTGCTGGCCGCAGGTGGGGAGTGTCGGGTCACATGGCAGCTGCCTCGCCTTCACGGTGACAGCAGAACAGGACACAGAGTCAGCTGAGTGACGGATTACCGGGCCAGAACGGCAGAGGCTGCTCTGCTGAATCCCTGACGCTCCTGACAGAGCAGCATGGTCTCCGCACGGACCGGAACCGGTCTCATTTCACAAGGCCCGGATCCACCCAGCCGCTACAAGCCCCTTTCACACAAAAACACCCTCATCTCGATTCTGCAAGATAAAAGATCTGATTATGCTGCCACTGCTTAAACCACACACACATACGTTTGTTTTCATATCTTTGTGGGGACTCTCCATTCATTTCTATGGGCATAACCCTAATCCCAACCCTTATACAGCCCTAACCCTAACCCTAATCCCAACCCTTATACAGCCCTAACCCTAACCCTAATCCCAACCCTTATACAGCCCTAACCTTGACCACAAGTAACCAAATAAAATACAATAGTTTTGGCATTTTTGCAATCTCAGATTTTAATAAAATATAAATTTTAAATAAAATTTCCCCTTGTGAGGGTTAAAAATGGTCCTCACAACATCAAAATAACAGGGTTTTATCAAATGTCCCTTCTACCATGCCAGTTAAATGAATAACCCTTGGGGGGACCACCCCCCCCCAGCCAATTTTATCATCTCAAAAAGGGGTTTCAAGACTTGACCAAAGTTTTTAGGCGTCTCCCTGCAAAACGTTTGAGGACCACTGCAATAATACATCATGTCATCTCTCTTCAATATGTTACGCAGTGGGCCTGCCGGTCTCGGCGGAGGTCTCTGACCATGCACAGGATCCAGCACTGCGGTTCACATGCCGCCGCGTTCTCGATCTGCCACCGTCTATAGACGGTAAAGTTTTCACTTCTAAACTTCTTGACATCCTCCCTCCCAATGCCCCCCCCCCAACCCCCCACCCAGAAATCTTACTTCCCAGCCCATACTGATGCCCGACTATGTGCTACTATGTGCGCCGAAAGGAAAAAAAATTTAAACTGGCCATGCTTCCTGATAGAGGAGGAAACAAGCATCAAAAGGGGCCAAAGAAAACACCCCGAGACACGGCAGCCATTTTGTGAGACGGAGCCCCCCCTCCCACGGTGCCCTCAAAGGGGCCTGAAACGGGGCTGGCCCAGTGCCTAAAGAGGTGCATTCTGACCTGAAAAGTCCTCTCGCTGCAGAGTTTGCACTACCTGTGAGATACACCCTAGCTGGGTGATTGACAGGTGGCTGGGAATGCAATATCGATGGGAAAGGGATGAGGAAAGCAAACAGAGGGCAATGTGGTTACAATAAAAGGTGCCACAGAAATATCGAACTGCATCGAATGCATTTCCAAACAGCATGAGGACACATTACACAGGCAGTCCATAAACACTGATTCTACCTTCATTCAGAATAATCCCAGGTACCGGGTCCTGCCCAGCATCAAACTCTGACTGGTACGATTAATGTGAACTGGGCAAGAAGCTGCCTGATTGGCTGGTCAGGAAATCGCCCGACTTTGCAGGACAAGTGTATAAAAATTCTGGTCTAATCTGACATCCCCCTCACTGCCCAAGAGCTCAGGCGGAACACAAATGTAACCCCCCCCCCCCCCGCCATCACACTACAGATCTACCATAAGTGGACTGCGCCACATTTGCACGCACTGGGACTCCGTCACTTTTCTCTCGAAAGAGACTGATATATGCCAGACGACTTGCGACACACGGTACGTAGGCGGCCGCAGGGGATGGCGGAACCCACCAACTGACCATCAGGCATGCATTACTGTACATGGGCAAGACAAGAGAAACACAGAAGTACAAGAACAAAAGTTCTTGGTAAAGCCTCGGGAAAAGTTGGCGGCAGGTAAACGGAATCCAGAAAACTGTAGATATTTAATCTGCTAACGCCCCCCCCCCCCATCCACCCAGAAAAGAAAAAAAGCCCCTCTCCCTGGGTCAGGTGATCTGAAAACCCATGCTGGGAACAACAGCTGAATGATGAAAAACAAAACCACAGTGAAAGCCATTCCATTTCGCGCAATGAAACAGAAGCCGGACAACAATCTAGAAAAGTAAAATGTTTCTATCCATTTCAGGGGACATTAATCAATGTGTGACTCGAACTGGCAGCGAGTGACAACCTCAAGCACTTACAAATACTTGTGTTTCTGGCCATGATGCTGCAAATAGCCCATGCAACCAAGGTGAGTATAGAATAGTGGTGTTTTTTTCATCCCTGCAGAGAGATTGGGCAGTATTTATATATCCCATCATGCTTTGCAATTAGAGACACAGGCACACAAAAGGTAGAGCAAATTTTGAGGGTCAGAGCACACTGCGCCCTTAGAGCTAATAGTGACATGACTACTCTTCTGACAACGGGATTTGAACCCACAACCTTCAGGACAGAGACAGATATTACTAACTGACTGAATCGTACGACATACCATAAAGATATGTGACTTACATTCAGACAAATTTCATTAGCGACCACTTAACTGTTGTGGTAAGGGACACCACTATGCTGGCTGAATTTCTTTTAATAACTCAGAAGCTGTCAAACACCTGTCCCAAAGCTCAGCATGAACGTTTTCAGAAACCTTTGGAAAAACCTCCTTGATTCCAGACACTTCTTTACTGCTACAGTAGCTGCATACATTCTTGGAGACTCACTTATCTTACCTGCACACACACCGAGGACTCGCCATCCACTCAGTTACTTCCACATACAGCCCAGAAAAAGTACCCAGCTATCACAAAGTCTCCAAGAGCCATGAAGTTACAGCAAACTTGTGACACACATTCCCATAATAACCCCTAAATTAAATTTAACCAAATCAAGCAACTCCAAAGTAATCTTTCTAAGGAGGACCTTTTGCATAACCTCATCAATGGTGGCAATGGCATCAGTGATCCTCTGCTTTAGATTACTGATGTCCCATACCTTTGTTTGCAATGTGATTAAAAACTGATAACCACTGAGTACACAGAATAAATCTGATGAAGATGTCTCATCAATTGCCTTTGTAATACATTTTTGAAATTGTAAAGAGACTTTATGGACACCCTGTATGTTGAGATCTTAAGAAGCCAATACTGCTATCTTTACATGGAGGTAGAAGGTGAAGTAGGAATAAGGTCAGCAGGCTGGCGTCAGGAAAAACAGCCTCCCTCTATCTACCTCCCAAATCCTATGAAAACCTGGTTATGGGGACAAGATGGCACTGAACTCGCACAATTACAACTTCGAACTCACTTAAAATTAAAAACACTGTTTGTTTGTTATTCACGTTGACTTAACTAGCAGAACCAGTAAAGGTTCAAAAATAGATAGCTGAACCAGTATAACCGGTAAAAAAAAGCTACTGTATAATGTAACCATTGAAATAAAGGAAATCCCAACAACAGCCGATAGAATGGATTCTTTTAGCTTGTCAAAACTAAAAATATCAATATTTTAAAATTTCATTCCTATTAAATGACGCAAAAACACTTTTATACAGGAATAAAGTTCCAAAATGTTAGAAGGGCCAGCTGTCACGAAGCTATTTTCCCCAGACATGGCTCAGAAAGCGCCTTATTTACGTGTCCTGTCACAGGGAGTCCCGTCTAATGCAGTCCAGCAGCACAAAGAGCCATAAACTCATTATTCAAAAAAAGTATAGAAGTGTGACCGGACCGGGGATTTCGCTTTTGGCTGGTTTGTTGTTTTCTTCTTGTGTTTTCCTGGTACATGGCAGTGACATCCCGGCTGCCCAGGCCTCGGCCAGGGTGACAAAAACACCCCACAGAGAAGCTTCGGATCCGGGACGGTCCGCGGAGCCCCGGAGACCCTGAGAGCGGCTGCGGATCCGCGCCCAGACCCGATGCGACTCCGGCGGTACCGGATCGGCGCCCCGATCCCTTTCTCTCCGTCATACACACGCATCTGTCGTTTCTGACGTGCGAAATGCTGCCCGGCTGCTTCTTTTATCTTAAATTAAAAGCGGTCGCCGTGAATTTTGCGGGATCGCAAAGCGCGGCCGCATCCTGACGGCCGTTTATTTAACTCCGGCAGTAAAAGTCACTTAGTTCAGCGACGCGTGGTGGGGCTCGGCTCGGCGGCGGTTACCTTGTAGACATCGCCGTAAGTGCCGCTCCCGATCCTCTGGATGAGCTCGAAATCCTCCTGCGGGTTCCGTCTGGAGAGGTCCAGGCTGCGGTTCATGGTCCGATCCCGGGCTCCTGCCGCTCGGTCGGTGCGCAGATGCGAGGCGCCGGCGTCGCGGACCCGGGCGGCGGGGAGAGCGAAGGCGAACCAGGAGCAAAAAGAGGCGCGAGAGACTGACGAGAAACTGGACGGGACGGACAAACGGGGTCCAGGGTGCGAGAGAAATCACGACCGGGGCTCACGGCGAAGCGAACATGGCTTCCAGGGCGCATCACGCCTGCGCACCGAGCCGCGATCGCGCTCCAGGAGAAGAGCAAGAAGGAAGAGCCGAAGAGAGGCTGGGCAGGAAGAGGGGACGGGAAGCCCGGCCGCTTCGTGGTTCACCCTCTGCAGTGGCAGTGCCTTCACCCGCGCCGCTACTCTGTCGGTGCAAGCACTGAAACGTGTACAGGGCATCTTTGCTTGGCCAGACAACTACCCAACTATCTCAAAAGCGGCAATCCCTTAGTAAAACTTTATTTGGGCTTGTAGCGGTCTGCATTGCGATATTAATGATCAGCATGAAACTGGCGCTTTTGTGTACCGATCACACCCGTGGTTGAACACTTTATTAGAGATCACTTGTTATGTGTGATACACACCAGAAGAAATATCGTACAAGTAATGCAAAGTAGTTCAACTTGCCAGAAGCTTCTTTGAATCTAACTAATGCCGTCATATACAGGATTTTGTCACTAAGTGTAGATAGGATACGATCATTTTCTATGCATGAAAAGCTCTTGAAATCTGGCTCAGCACACTGGAAAGTTTTTGAAAAGGGGGGGGGGACGACAAAACACCATCTCTTTACAGTTCAGCACGTTATAAATGCTGGCCTGTTGTTCTGGCTCTTAGCAACTGCTGGAGGATTCGAGCCAATGTGGAATCCGCCTGAGACATAGCGCAGGACGTGTCGACGTGTTGATGACAGACTATGCCATTCTTGACATGACTGAAAACTCCGGTGCTGTAGATACTTCCTGTCTGGCAGCAATCGAAAGACAGTGATGCCACGCCTCTTTGGTGAGAGCGGTGCCAGGGACATTAACCAAGATTAGTCACAAGCAGTGGCAGGGACTCTGGTGACAAGGGAGACACAGAGTCTGTGTCAGGAAGGATATTCTGAGGATGGGAATTAAAAGGTGCATTCTGGCCCGCGGACTCTGAAAAGTTACAGTCTGAATCGTTTACTGCCAAGTATGTATGAGGAATTTGATTTAGAGTGTCGGGAAAAACAAGCAAGCACAAACAAGGCAATCAACATAAGAAATTATATACATGAGATAAAATGTACTTAGTGCAGATAATGTGTATTTGTGCAAATGGCAAATAAAGGATCATTTTATTCCATTAGATCAGCTGAAGCAGAGGAACAGACAAAGTGAGTGGTTGTTGATGAGGCGAACTGCCATAGGGGGAAAATGTTCTGTAGGCGAGTGGTTTTGATCTTTATAGACCTGAACCTCTTGCCGGAAGGGAATATTTGGGAAATACTCAGCTGCAATCAGCTACCCCTCAGTGAGGCATTTTAACCTCCTGAACCGAAGCTTTATTCTGCTGTATAGTGAACATTCACTCTATATGCCATATTTATCACCCTTTGATAATGAGCTACAATTTTAACCTCAGCAAACTTATTATTTCATCGACAACAGTGTCTTTCAATCTAATTCCAGAGTGTCTCTGACCGTGACATTGATGCATATAAGCAGGTCCCATTCTGGTCTGTGCTGGTTTTGGTGAACTAGGAATGCCACCTCAGGTCCTCCCTGTCCTCTTCCTGTCCGCCTTCCTGTGAGTGTTCCTGTGAGCATTTTGAGGTTCTCGGCGCAAATCCTCATACGTAGCTACCAGCAGAGCACTTTGTCTTCGCGGGTAGCTGTTTTCTTCTTCTCCTTCTGTGCCGAGGTTCTGTTGTGCCACATCTCGGGATGTCTTAGACCGGGCCGCGCGCCTGGTTTTTATCGGCCTTAAAGCCCGTTTGCCTGGCTGTCGCACTCTCCAGCCGTGTGCCGGCAGCGGAATGCAAGCTCCATGAATAACTGCCTTGTGACTCATGGGGTTCAGGATAAAGGTCTGCTCAGTCTGGAACAGTAATGTGCGAGACATATTTGGATTGTCTTCACTGTGGGACCCGGCCGTTCCCTCGCGCCGGATCCAATGGGCGTCTTTTAAACCTTTAGCTGGTTGGATCGGTGGGAGAAATGCCCGTAGACCTGGAGATCTCAGCTGCGTGTTTATTGCCTATATTTAAATCGCACACAAAAAAGAAATTCCACTGCAGTGAGTAATAACAGAAGTCCAAACAAAGAACGGCTAGTAGGCAGCTACAGTGGACTCGCTGTAATATGTGCACTGTGCACTGTAACATAAGGATGAAACTGTATATTTTTGGCTGTTAAGTGACAGTCTCCAAAAATGGGGCTTTCTTTCATTTTCTGTTCTAATGGAACAAGCTACACGCTGTTTCCTGCTATACACTTCACACATCTGTGATGTGGGTCCTGTGGTATATACTGATCACGTCAATGACTGGGGAACACATTAGAACAAAGCGGGGGGTGGGGGGGGATCGTGTAGGTGGGAATAAAGTCATTCCCATTTGTCTGTTTCTCAAACTCAGATATAACCTTTTTTTAAAAAAAACAAAAAACAGATATAATTCAAATTCAGGCCTTTATTAATAAAGTTTTATTGGTTTGCTAAAATTATTGTAGGTCATTTTTCGTGATTGTTCATCACTGCATTCTTAATGATGCTCCAAAAGTTCCACGTTCCACAGAACACATAGCCCAGGGCTATTCAAATCACAGCCCTCAAGGGCAGAGCACTGCTGAGCCAGGTGTAAAGGCTCTGGCCAATCAGAATCAGTAATTGTTAAACTAACATCCCGGGAGAACTGAAAACAAGGCCTAGATTTGGAATAGAGGGCCAGATTTGAATAGGGGGATATAGCCTGTGGTAGATGTTGCCCTTCTAGTTGCATCTATATCAATTTTCTACAGTCTGTCTGTGCACTGCATGTAAACATGTCTGCCCTTGGTATCGTGTGTCCCCAGGATGTCTGAACACTGAACCAGAAAATCAAAACCACTTATAAATACAGAGTGAGGTGGAAGCTGATGCTGATCCCACTGCCATCTCCATGTGAATTCAATCCCTCCATTTCTCAGTCTTTGCAAACGTTCCTGCTATGCTGGGTGTCTCGTACCACAGTGATATTAGCTCCTGCGGGAACACTGCCTGGGCGGCAGGCAGTAACACACGGTGGACCCCCACATGGAGCCTGGAAGCCGTTCACGGCTGGAAGTTACAGCCAAAGAAGTGCTTCCCTCGTGCGCCACACTGCTGCGTTTGAAGCGATGGATGTGTGGTTTTTCTTGTCAGGGCGTGAAGAAAAAAGAAAAAGCAACACAGAAGGGCCTCTAGAAATGGTGGCGTGTGTGTTTTATACATTCAAACAGGACCTGAGAAAGCACTTTTAGTTTTTATTGTTTTTACTGTCCACTGCAGTTTGGCTGGTAGAAGCAGGAACCATGAGATGTTACACTAACAATGTATAGCTTAGACTGGGACTGTTTAGAAAGTAACATTCTCCGGCATCATTTAACTTCTTCATATATAGGAACACGTTACTACACATCTATTCCGATATTATAAATTATTGGGAAAACATAAATTTTATTCACTCATCTGCCATAATTGCTTATCCAGTTAATTGCTTATCCAGTTAATTGCTTATCCAGTACAGGGCTACTGTGTGTCAGCAGCCTGCCCAGCAATACACAAGGCAGAGGAAACATGGACAGGATGTCAGCTCTCCTCAGGGCACACAAGTCACATGCTCAGGGCAATTTTCTAACACCGAAGTATTTGTTTTCTGACCTGTGGGTACTGGAGTACCTGAGGGGAAACCATCCAGCCGGGGAGAGAACATACAAACTGCACAGGTGGAGCCAAGGGTGGGCAAACTCACATCCCTGGAGGTACAACGCTATGATACTCTCCCATGAGCTGCTGGCTACACCAGTTATACGGTAATTGTTCTATATAGGTGCAATCAAATTCAATAAGTATTTTAAAACCTGCTATTAGGTGCTCGGTCTTATTCCACAGTCAGTAATTTTATTCGTACCTTTGCATTCTGGGAATCTGGCCAAGCTTCAGTCTGTGTGATGACTTTTATGCCTTGTGTGTCAACTGAACAAACAGGAGACAGCAGATGGGGGGGGAAAAGCCCTCCCCCAGCACCGGTGAGATCTATGGGACTTGGCAGCTAATGGGTCCAGCTCAGTGAGCAGCGCAGGACTCGGTACCGAGATCCATAGTGTATCAAGGCGCCCCCAGTGTCCTGTGCTGGGACACTTATAACAGCCTCAGTCGTGACCACCACAACTTCTCTTGGTACAGGAAGTTGCACAGACTGTCTGACAGGTGATACTGAGCAGGTTAAGACCATAAAATCGAGAGTTACCCCCCCCCCCCCCCCCCCCCCCCCCCACCTGGC